GTAGCTATTGATGTATGGGTATGATATTTGAGGCTGAGAAATATTTCTCTTTTCAGAGTCATGTTGCACGAGTTCGATCCATACCTGTATAGAGGAGGTTCCATCGAGGGGTTAGACAGTTGGGAACACTATCCCAAAATGTGCAAGCAACAAACGTGATCATCTAGTAAGTCGAACAACCAGTAGTTCAGCCTTCTCCTCTTTGTGTAACTGTGACCGTGTGCCACTTACACCGTCGATTTATCTACTTTTTTCTTAATCGCATGATGATGATGATGATGATGATGATGATGATCATGATCATGATGAAATTGATCGCCATAGGCACGTGTAGAAAAAAACAGGGAACTGATTCCCGATGCAAGCGGTAGATGAACGATCTTGGCTTGATTTTTAAAATATGCACACAGGACTTTGTTGTTTCAAAGTTACAAGTTGATTTCGCTTTTTAAGATTGAAAAGAAAATCGCCAAGATTATTTCAATTTGTCCTGTAAATATACATGATAAACGAAAACGAAGCACGGGAAATCGATAGGCCGAGCAATCTTCTCTGACCTGCTTGAAATACCTCCTTTAAATTATATTTGCTGTGAACAAAAATAGGCTGTATTTCCTAGGAGAAGGGGAGGTAATCAAAACAGACTTACCCAACAATGGGAAACTGCTTGCAGCGGCTGGTGTTGTATCTTCGAGTAGTAGATGAAGCAGTAGGAATGCGACGAACACATTCATGGCTGAAATAGTGAAATGCACTCACGATTTGATTTCAATCGAAATTTTGGGATTCTGTATGTGAAGGGCTATTTATCCACGAGACACATGCAAAACAGGGAATTCGTACGCTATTGTCTAATTTGGACGTCGACGTGCTTGCTAAACTCATGGGTTACACGTTCGTTTGAACCCGTGTTAACTCACAGTAATTTATCGCGTAAATTACAATTTCGAAGGTCAAATAACACAAACAGTATAAAACAGCTATCATTATTATTACATAGGCGAACATTCAGACATGAGTAAATAAGGAAACTGTCCCTTGGTGAAGTACAGACAAGTAATTCACAAAACCAAAATTCATAGACCTCGTCCCCTGATTATTTTTTTAGTCTACTCATGCAAATACACTGATCATCACGGTGTCCATCAAACGTGATATGATGCAGATTACAGTTGGCATCACGATTCATTTGAATATGGTTTACGTAAACTCATCACGTTCAAATCTTTGAGGATCATGGTGGTCATGATCATAATGCTGTTGTTTGAAATATCGGAAACAATTTTTCCATTTGATTCATTTTAATAAAAAAAATAGTACAATTTGACCATGATTGATATTGGTTAACAGGTTTGCATGATCTCAATCAGCTGTCTACGCACATTAAATAGATCGGAATGTCTCAAGAAGATTACCATATATGGTTATTTGCATAACTATATGGGTTCAAGTGGAAAGAACTCGGTTGAGTGAACAAGGAGGGAGGAGGACAGGTGATGATTACAAAGATTCAGAAAAAGAGGATGCTATCATAGAAACAGTGAAGTAAGGGAAACTATTAACTACGAAGAAAAGAGGGTTAGAAATGGTTACGTATCACGAAATACATACAGCTAGAAATGAATTAGAATCCACATAGAAAGGTAACGGAGTAGAAAATTGGTCAATTAAGTGGACCAAAAAGGGTTGCGTAGTATGTGAATGAGATGGATTAAGTATCAACTGTTTGTTTAATCTCCAAATGACTTCGATTATGACTTAACAACGAAGTGCTTTGCGCTTGAACCCATGTATTCTGTGAACACCCATATATGGTAATCTTCTTATAACATTAACGTGTATAGGCAGCTAATTGAGAGCACACAAATTCGATGGTCATTATCAATCCTGTTCACACTGTATTACTTGTTTTATTCAAATGCTGTTGTTTTTATTGTTGTTCCTCTGGTGTTTGTTGATTTGGTGATGATGGTGGCGGTCATCGTCGCTGTTTTTGTCGTGGTCAATTGGTACCGGAAGTCTTTCATATCAACCAGGTCGAAGCAAATTCAAACCACACGCTCGCCGCCCAGATTTTTTTCTTTTTTTTGGGGGGGGGGGAAATCCTCAGATATCCGCTAAACAGTTTTGGTTGACGTCATTCCTGGAAGTTGTATTTAAAGTTGCATACTCAACAGGAGCAAGTAAGAAACTATGATTATTACTTTCAAAACGATAATGATTTAATTGAAGCCAAAGTCGATTTATATATTCATGCGACGCTAGTGGATGCTGATTTATGCATTTCACCGATCTGTATAAAACTATTGGCTGAAATCAGTTCATTAAAGCTGGCAAACGTGTTTCCCTTTCTCGTTCTTCTTTTGCAAACGGATACTCAGTTAACCTCAACGAAGCTTCTCAGTAGATAGGCACTGACCATTGAGTCAACTCAAGTAAGACTTTGCAAGCTATTTATTAGAACTTTGGTTGTGAACCGCATGCATACACACATTAGGCAATCTATCTGTAGTAGGCCTCTGACATCGGAACTTTGCTGTTCACCTCCCCTGGGATCATCTGGGCAGCGACATCTCTGCCCCTTCTTACGCACAGCCCTTTCAAATGAAAAATATTGACCTCTGGGAAATGAGTCAAAGTGACACAAATGGTCCATAGAACCGATAACGATTAGAATCATTGGAACATAACTACACACAAAATCTAATTAAACAATAGCTCCCACTTTTCCCCTTTTGGTTTATTAGGATAAAGTCACGAAAAACTAATTAAAGGTTCGGCCTAAACGCTAAACTTGATCTCAATAAGGACCATGTGAATGATCTGAGTTGTGACGATAGAAGAGATTCGATTATGGCGGACGATCATCATCCATGGAAAGCGAAGCTGACAAATCGGAATCAAAATGGAGTAGGAGTTTATTGTAACACAAGTGTAGTGTGAAGAACTATCGTCTGAAACATTGTTCAATACCACTCTCAAGCGAACAGTTGGGTTTTTCGATTTGTAAATGAAAATACTGGTGATACTAGGATTATTCCAACGCAACAGAGCCAAAGGTCGATTCAACCGAGCAGAACTGGATTAAGTAAGTAGAGGCATGGCTTGCGTCACTCTGACTGCAACTGTCCGAAATTTACCCATGCTATGGATAATCGTGCATCATCCTGCTCGGTGTTTGCGAACCAACCGTATATATAATCGGACATATGCACGTCACGATAGGTAATTTGATCAGTGCAAATTCGTCCACCCAATCCGACAATAAGTGTTGTAAACTAAACATGGTACCTAACATCGGAACATGGAACATGTGATAAAAATAGCTCATCTATGGTGAACTATTTACAATGTGTGGTTTTATATGTAATCTGCTGTTTGAAATACGATGTGAATGGACACGATGATCAAGACTGAAGAGACAGGCAATAGTGAGCGAACGGTTTAAGTCGCTTCCCTTGCTGCGTTCCCAATCCGCGGTCGAAACTAAGCTATGGTCACCAAATTTTAAGCGGTAGATACCTTCAGTTCAAGTGCGAGCTCACGCTACTCAGACCCTCATTCTGTTTACCACTCCAGATCCCAGAGCTATGGTCAGCAGTCTTCATGACCGAAAGTTGGTCCACATAACTTCGGTGTACACTGATTCGACTATTGATCGTACCAATGGTGGATGCGTCACGGAAGTGAGAACCTGAAGAAAAATCTATCATTGAAGCCTTTATTTATCGTACTTTGGGAGCATAAATGTTACTTGTTTGAGAATGCATCTCTTGCTGAACATTTCTTTCTCCAATGCATATAGAGCAAACGTAAGCGATGTGTTGTTTTACTTTACAGTACTCTTTAACTAATTGAATGATTCATTTTCCGCGGTTTAACTATATCAGTTTAAACGGATTAATTGTTACGCAAAATATATGTATTTTACAGAAAAACGCGATTGGGTTATACGTTTAATGGGTATTTCACATCCAATATTTCATTGGTGACTAATCGACAAGTAACCTGCTTGGTATCAAAGGATGCCAAATGGGATTATTATCCACAGGAGAATCAAATTTGAACGGTCTTCAATAGATCAACCTAACGGTCTACACATAGGTGTTTAATGTACTTTCTTGTTTCATAAAGTACGATTATTGATTTTGAATGATTATTTACATGATTCCGGTCTGTTCTTCTTTGGAAGGTTCGGGTGATTGCGATCCAGAGTTGAGGTTCTGTCTATGCGACGACGATAGACTGAGCTGGTTCCAATGCCAGTCATCATTTTAAAATCGTAAGAGCTGAAACTTGGTTGATTCGTTTGTGAGAACAACTGCCTGTGCTCCATATGAGCTAGATATTTGACGTTCATTTTTCCTTATCCGTATCTTATCCTTATCTTATCATGTCATATTTTGGCACTGTTATCTTCACAAGCAGGCAGCGGCGTGCACAAGCCGTGAACTATAAAAGGCGTGCCATGTTTGTGAGCGTTCACTGTGTGATGTGCGATTTGTAATGGGGTTCATGAAGCGGACTGTTAGTTGATTTTTTCTCTCTTTCTTTAACTAAACTGAAAGTTTTAGAAAATTGTACGAATACAGATCTGTAAATGCACTGTTATCGCCTTGTCTTTTTGACTATTCATATTCATATCTATAATAATACTCTCATATGTTAATAACATAAGCTGTTACTAAGTTCCAACCGTTCAAGTAATTAGGGGTTATCGAAAAGTTTATTCTGAATCCAGTACAACCTCATCTACCTAATATATAGCAGGAAGTGATCAACTGAGATTACTGATCATTCAATCAAATTGAACATTACCGGCTGTTAGACACAATCACTTGTTCCTGTCTGTGCGTGTGTCTGTGCTGTACAGCGGTGTGCCTGCTTCTTACGTATAGACTATGTTGCAAATTATTGAGCCACTCATGGTTAACGTATTCCATATTAACACCTGTTCTAAATGATTCTCATAGGTTCGGTCCCCACAACAGCCCTTTCCGGTGGTTACATCATCGCAGAGTTCGTGTGTGTGTTCCAACCCAAAAAGCATTGTCTACGGTTTCCAGTTTGTAAAATTCAATACATAAGTCAGATTGAGACAGCTGGAATGCCTTTTCCAGTTGTTCTGTCGTTGGAAAACCGTTCCTTTTCTAATCGGATTAATTTTGATGTGACAACCAGGTTTTAAAAGTGGTTGCATACAGGGAAGGTTGAATATGTGTTCATACACCCTTCTCAGTAGTAAATAAATGTTAAATAAGTGATACTACTACTTATGTAAAATAAAAGGCAATCAGAACAACACCTACGTGTGAAAAATATATCCATTGGATATATTCAACTAATTGAAGTGTGAAAATACCAATAGATGGGAAATGTTCCATTTAAATGTATTTTAAGATATGGGATTTATATGACTTTCTGATAACTCCATCACAAAAGTAATATATCACTTTGCTCTATGTATTAGAGTCAAGACGATTAGACAGCGAATGTTTTGGGGATCTTGATTTGTATTGATCATCCTTTGTACTTTGTCTTCACGTGCACTCGTCATTCCATCCAGTCAACCGTACACTCGGAAGCACCGGACTCGAGTTTCACTCATCAGTACTGCGTATCCACCGTCTCGTCCGGGCTTTGAACTCCGGACCCAGGTGTTTGTTATCACTGTACCAACCTGTTTATACCAGGACTGAACCGAGTTGCCAAATCATGTTTCGTAAGGTGATACCT